CGGTCATCTGCACGCCAGCGTCCTAGGACACGTGGTGGTCCCTGTCACCAAGGGCGGCAACCGGCAAGACCTACCCCACGGAACAGCGGCCAGTGGACAAGACGTTCCAGAGGCACCGGAAACTGCCTCCGCCGGCGATGCCGGGAACAGCCACAAAGGACGACCCGACCTTGAGCGCGCAAAAGTGCTCGTACAGCGCCGCCGTCCACACCTTCTGCGACGACCCCCTTCCGACGACGACCACGAAGATAGCCATTGGCGAGCCGGACGCTAATGTGGGAGCGAGGGTCTGCCACTACGTTCAGGGGCCGCTACCGACCGTCCAAAAAGGACACAGTCCGAATCGCACAATAGAGCATGAGGAATACGCGCGAGAACCTATAAAATGACGACACGCCCACAGAACAGTGGGAGACGGACCGCGGTCACTGAGGAGTGTAGGTCGAACGCCAGGGCAATGTTATACTTCCGTACTAACAACCCATTCTAGTTACTCTAATAAATGTAGTTTTATGTTTTGGAAACCCCGGCTTCGTGTTGTTCCTCCCGGATGGGTACGCAGCAAGGCAACCCTACCACAAATTGTAAGATCAAAATCATCCGCCTGACAACACTCGAGCGCGGCTCATGTATTTGGCACGAGAACTGCGTGAGCACTCTACTTCGGCTCGTAAAAATCAATGCCTCGGCGGACACTCAGCCAGTGGCTCGTGTCCAGCCACTGCGGTGATGAGAATATCCCTACTATAAAAATGGTTGAACCTCAGCACGCGCTTACTGCATTGCCAACCCCTAGGCGTGGGTATGATTAACGTTGACTGCACAGGATAGGCACCAGGCATTGTGGCCGCTTGTTCTGGCTCCGAATTGAGGGGATGAACGATGCTCATATTACTATATTTTTTTTGGTGCCTACCATTGACAAGAAAGAAAAACAAAGGCAAGTTTATTGTGTTATTAGACAGTTTTAGTATACCGTTGCTGGACCTTACGTACGCAATACGCAATAGTATAGCGTACGCTAAAAATGACCTGCTCGGACCGAATTTAGTTGTGCGCAACGTTACTAAAACACTCAGTTGGGAAACTCGCCGTGGAAACCTGGGCCGCTGGCGTCCACCGAGACCGAGCTAAATGCGACAACAACGCCACTCTTTATCGTTTGTCTGTACTGTGGTCACCTTGAGCCTTTTGAAAGCCTGTTTTTGCGTAAAAACAAACGGAAAAGACTCTTTTTGTATGAAATTTATTGGAGTTTCGTACAAAAAGGGGGCGCGTTATAATTTTAAAATCTTTAGTTTGCAGAGCTTTGCGGAACAATTAATATTGTTTTTATACAACCATGCCTCAGCGGGGTTTTCAGGTAGCGCGTCCTGACCTAGGTGCATTTTAACTTCCGTAGTTCGACGCGGCGCGTCCGCCGGGGAGACGGGGGTGGAACCCTAGTAACCTCATGCGCTGTATCTGTTCTTAAAGCAAAAATTGCAGTCACGTGCAGTTCCTCGAGTGACCGCTGCGAGAGAAATGGTGGTGGTGTGTTCGTCATTAGCTCGGTGCTCGGAGACAGATTGGGGCGACTTTTTCAAAGCTGTCTCTATGGGAGTTTCCCAACTGAGTGTTTTAGTAACGTTGGTTGTGCGTTACGTTTTCGAGTGGACACCGCGCAGGATCTTGGTTAAATTTGCTAGAGCCGTAGAATTCCGCGTGCTTATAGCGCAACCATGCTCTTGGAAAGAAATATTGAAAATGAAAACGGGTCCAATCATTTTATTTCAAATTAAACCAAGCCACAGCTGCCTCGTCAAGCGCGCTTTTCTGCGGGGTACAGAGGCTACGAGTACGAGTGCGTAGCCAAATTCGAACACGGAGCCTCCGTCACTCGTCCCGTGGAAACGGCACCATTTATCAATGCTATCGCGGAATGAAATTCATGACCCTGATGTCCAGTGCATAACGAGAACTTCTGCGATTTCTTTTAGAGCCGTTCGTCCGTCGGCGATGAAGTGTGGGAATAGGCTTAGCGTTGAGCAGATCGCAGCGTCGATGCACATTCCGAGCGGCGAACATTTTCACTGTGCGCTCCTTGAGCTGCACGGCGATGTGATTCGACCCCGGTAGGTCACAGAAAGAATCGCCGAGCTGAACACCACGCAATTTCACGTAACACAAAACTTCGAAAACACCACGTCGCCCTTGCTGCGCCAGTCGGGGCGACCGCCATCTTGAAACTGGCATTCTCGTTGGGTCCGAGATCTCTCGAGAGCGTCTCGCAAGACCCGCTAGCTAGCGACGCAAAATCCCCAGCGTTGCGTGCGTACGCAATACGCTAGCCCTTTTATTGCGTTCTGTGCATGCGCACTCACGACCCGCAATTTCCTTGCGTACGCAAAGCTATAGCGTACGGTCCACTAAAACTGTCTATTAACATTAGCGGATGGAAATATTTAGTGAAAGTAGAATAATTGTTTCATGGCTCCTTTAAGCCTGGGTTAACTAACCTTCGACCGCTTTCGACCGAGTTCCCTAAATCGTCTTGGGATCTCTTACGACGAGAGAACACTGTTGCGCCATCTATTGCTTAGCGGTGGAACACTCGGCATTTCCCTCTATTTATTATTTAAGTGGAAGCTGAAGCGGTTTTGTATTTGAGGACACGCACTTAAGTCGTCTGAATATGAGCTCCAAATTCTGGAAAATCAAAATATATATATGTATATATTTTTTTAATTTGTTGCGTGGAGCCTTTAGAAAATTATTTTCAAAGTAGCGCTGAAGGCCCTCCTTTCCGGAGCGTGACGTCACAAGAGGAGTTTTCGGGGATGTCCACCCTCGCGCAAATTTAGCGCCTGTCAAAACTATGCACGCGCATTCTTGCTATTTTTAAAAAGGGCAGAAGAAGATTTCACGACTGGTACAAGTGCGGGGGAATATACCTAGCACGCTTGTGATTGCACGTGCGGTCCTCAGCGGCACGTGCTTGGCGGCCAAAAGATCCTCTTATGACGTTACGACAGTTCGTAGGTTTTTCGTCTTTCTCACTTTTAGTTGCATCTTCCTGGAAAACGAACATGATCTTCAGATTCACGGGATAAAACTACGCTAGAATCAACCACTCTCTCAGTTTTCGAAATACATTTTCAGCTTCCTTGTATTGCGCTAGCATAAGTACTAACGTGACAGGAAAAAGCTGACGGCGTTCGTCTGCTGTCAAAACAGTGCATATAACTGGAAGCGCGCCGCGTAGAGAGGAGCAGGTTAGTGGAGGACAAAGGCGAGAGGGAGGCGACGTAATGGGGCGGAAGCCAATGCTCGCGAAGAAAACCGGTGAACAGCCAAAGCAGCATCAGACAGCGGATGCCGCTGCTAATCGTGCAAGGCGGGAGAACGAGACTGAGGCGCAGAAGCAGCGCATAGCTCGGCTGGCCGAAACGGGGCGCAAGAAGCGGCAAGCCGACGCGGGTCTGCGTGTGACAGAGACTGGGGGCGAAGCGGGCTCGGCGAACTCGCTTCGCCGGGAAAATAGAATTAAAGGAAGATGCATTGGTGGAGTTTTAAGGAAAACGTTAGCATGAGCCTTGGGATACACCATACACGTCCCCCTTTTGGAAACGCTAACACTAAACCCGAAACAAAGCCAAAAAGAACCGGCAACAAATAGAGTAAGCAAAAGAGAAATTCGAACGAGAAAAGCAAAGCAGAAAAATAAAACAATCGGCTTTAGAGCTTCCCCGAGGAAGACGTGTGTGGCGTTTCCCAACGGTCAAGCTAAAGTATTTCTTAAGGATTCACCCATAGAAAAATTCCTTCTTTGTTCGCGCATGACTTTTTTTTTAAATTTAAACCGCTTTTGACGAAGTTTAAAACAAACACTGCTCATAGATAGTACGTACATTTGATCTCGTCACTACAGCAACACCTTCGCGCTAGTGAGATACAGTTCCAGGAAAATTTCTTAGATGGCGCCAGCATGCCACTGTGGTTTTTCGTCGTAAGATGTCACAAAAACTCGTTCTTAAGCAAACGTAATTGTGCGAACGGGCCTCTAGAGAGAATGATGACGAGCTCGAACCGTTGAGCATGTCATCCTCTCTTCGGCTGGAAGACGTCACGTTTCCGGGCAACATCAGTGCGATATGCGATGTGAGAACCGGAAAGCCATGCCCTTCCAATCTAACGAGTTACGTTCCTTTGTTCTTTAACAACCACATTGGACCGGTACTATATTCAGTGTCACCTGAAGTCAGATCGCTGCCGACGCTACAAACCGAGGAGGCCGATCAAGCAGCCCCAGAAGTGCATCGTCACAGTGCTCATTATCTTTGTGAGTATCACCGGCTAACTAAACACAAAAAGAAAGGGAGCGCAATATGTCGGCTCATTCACAGTGCGTGATTGTTTAGTTGGAGATAGCAAACGAAAAAGGACAATGGCCGCTGTGACGACGCACATCTAGGCACTGTTGGATTGGTTCAATAAGAGGGTAGCGTGAGCTGCAGTCGGTTTGGGCGTTGCAAGCATTACATAACAGACGCGTGTCTAAGTAATTGGGCAGGACGAACGTGAAATCTACAGAATTGAGATAAAATATCCAGGTTTTATCACATAACGCCTCCATCTGTTACGTAAAACTAATTAAATTGAGCTTCGTCAACACGTCAGTTTAATGTAGATTTTTGGAAGTATCGTAGAAAACAATCATCCGAACTTCGGATGCATGTTCTAAGTTATACAAATTATCTATTTTATCAAATAACGTTATTGTGCAAATAAATATTTTTTATAAATACACTCTGGGTATAAACGATTCTAATTTTATTTTCGGAACAGTTTACAAGGTTTTTTAATAAACAATGATTGAGCTCCTGAAGTTTTTTATTTGTGCATACCACCACCCTTGAAACACTGCAAACACATCAAAATTAATTGGACTTATTCCAGCGTACTCTCAACTGAGTGCCACAGTGTGCAATGTTGTGTCTCTTGATTCGTCAACTTTCAGTCTATTCGGAACTGCATGGGGCTGTATCGTAGATTTGGTATTTCTCTTGGCCTGAGCATTGGTTCTCGTATTCTTCTAGGCATTTATCGAGTTTCTGACTGCCGCTTGTATCGCCTCCGGGAGCTACCGCTGCACTGACCCAGAGCTCACATTCTGGAACGAAGAAATTGGAATATTATAACCTTTTTTGTTGGCTTCCTTTCCATCGCATTAATGTTTTACGCGACAGAGTAAGACCGATTATTATTTCCATGGACTTTCCAGTTATTGATAATGTCCACGGAAAATCTTTACAATAGAGATGCCTTAAGGTTCACAACCAACTATAGAACAAGTAACGTTTATAACAAACAAATAGCCTCGATGATAACTATTTTCATCTGTCACATGCAAATTTTTATGAGGAAATCAACATGAGTGACAGTCACGTGCTAGCTTACACATCACTAAAAAGTGATGTTTTACGTTCATTTTAGAATAGGAGAAAATTTACAATATAAACTAACCCTCGCAATATCACATGAGTGCCAATAAATAATAACAGAAGAACAGCAAGTTACAACATGAGAGCAATAAATTCACCAGAATATTTTCAATCGTAGCAGGCACTCAGCATCCGTAGACAAATTCGAAAGGGTTATTTTTTTTTTGTTTGTTTCATCAGCGAAATTGAACAACACGGGTTAGTCTAATATGTACGTTAAAACTAGGTGTTTTCTTAAATGTGAAGCTGACGGTAGACTTGAAAATAAGCGTATCATACAAAAAAATAGTAAACATTTTGGGCTCTTATGAGAAATTTCTTTGCGGAGCATATAGAGCTCAGAGTACTTAACGTTTCAAGTATTTCTTACGCACTAAATTTTAATTTAAATAGGAATAATTAAGAGTTTTATTTGAAAACAAGTTAGGCACCCCTAATGCCCGGGTGACACTGCTTATACCATCACAGAAAAGACATTCGGCATACAGATTCGAACGCAAGTGATCGCGAGGTCCGTGCTTCGAATGCCGCATGGCAATGAGTTCAAAGATGAAACTTGGCACGGCGGCATTCGAACCAAGGATATTGCGCTCACTCGTGTTTGCAGACTGTCTTCTGTATGATGTATGAGCGCTCTGACCCCGGCCTAAAAGTTGGCAAAATAAATATATAATTAGATTTTATTAAGAGATTTAGAAAATGCTATTAAACCTCTTAATTTTCCTGTATACCTTAACAACAGCTTGGAAAACGTGCCGTAATCGGATCAACGATTCTCACCCGGGTGATGCAGAGGAGAGGTGTTGGAAGATTGGTATTTGTACGTATATGTACGATTAAAATAAAAAAAAAGTCTAAAATCTCAACCTAGCAATGAGTAATACATATTTCGATATTTTTTTACAGTTACTGCTTTTGAATCATTTTTTTATATTGCCCAGAATGTATCAAAACGAATCTGAAACATGGAGACAGTGGTAGAGATATCTAATCACGGAACGATGGGCAACAAAGCAATTCCAACAAAACTGCGAAATCTACGTACGTCATCACGAATAGCCGGGGTAGTATTCACACCAATTTGGTCCAAATTATTCAGGCGCTGTCTCATTGAGAAACCAGTTGGACCACTCTACCAGTCGACACAAGGAAAACGCGTTTCCGGCGACCATGTAACGTCCCAAGACACTTCGATCAGCACACTTTCAGCTCTCGAATTATTTCGTCCTTTGACGGAGGATGCTGTCACCAGTTCATTACGTGTGCTTCTCTCAGGTGTCATGTTTTGAGAAGTCATCGGCATTCGAACACCTAAGGGCAAGTTCGGTTTACTTCGAGGAGTTTGGAAACTTTTCAGTGCACTTTGCCATTATACTTAAGTCGATTGTCGCAGAAAGGAAGCTTCACTAAGACATCTCAAAGGCCACGTCAGCGATGGTATCTTGGTTGCGTGTCCGTACTTCAACTGCCACAAGGTATTTAGATTGAAATCATCGTCTACTTCACATATGAGCCAGGCGTATTCACCTTTGACGTGTTTCTTGGGCGACGCCACATCGCCTGAAGACCCGCTTCAGGTTGAGGACCCTGCGACTCCATCGACTAGTGCGGATTGTAATGAAGACGGTGCTTTTGCCGTGAAAAAATCCCGAGGTTATAGCCACGACGTGTTTATAGGGAGTTTTAGAAAACCGTCCTTGCACATCCAATGCGGAACAATGGACCCTCCATTAGGCACTGCGCATGCGCTATTACAGAAGACTAGCATATGCGCAGTTCGTACCCAAGGTCCCATCGTACTGTATCGGATGTGCAAAAACCGTCTTCTAAAATTCTCCATAGTTTTTATATTCGGAAGCCTTGCTTCCCAAGCACCATATTCTGCTACACTATCCAGGCCTCCTTCTGGAGTTCGGTCCACTGATCAATACGTGGAAAAGAGGTTCGAATCAAATCACTCTTACTCTACGAACTGCGTGCGACAACTAAAAACTGCAAATCACTTTGCAAACGTAACCAAGCGCAGGAATATCAGTTACTTCAAGCTTACTTGTATTTCGACGCATGTTTTAGCCCCACTGTGAACTGTAAAAGCAGTACCCCCTTTAGTATGCAGATTTCTTGTATTGAATAGCAGCAGTGTATCAGGAATTTGGGAATATCGTTGGTAGGTCCTAGTGTGACAGACGAAGTGATCTACATGGGAACAGCTTACGCTCATGGAACGGTTGTGGCACGTCAGTCGCATGAATATGTGTTCGGGAAAATTCTTCAAGGGATAGTCGTATATAAAGACTGTTTTGTTGAGGCTGCGCAATTATTATGGGAGGTTCCTGTCACCGATTCACTATTACGCGGTTAGTGAAATGTGTGATCACGTCTGCCTAAATGTCTGACATCACTGACCGATTACTTTCCACTTCCACACTACAGTGTTCATACAAAGTATATCCTAATTAGGGGGGGATCGGTGGCCGAGTGGCCTAGCGCAAACCAGCTCGGAGCACGTGGATCGAAAGCTCGCGCTGCAGAACCCTGGGATCTTCGGTTTAATCCTTGCCCTTGCCCATATCGATCTGGATGAGCATCGTACCGGCGTCGGGTCGTGTATCACAATTCACTACGGCGTGATGTACGTTAAAGACTTCAGGGTAGCGGTTGTAATGCACTGGCTGACTTTTTCATCGACATCTGCGAGACAAGTCACCCGTTGAGGCAGACTACGTTCTATGTCGTATAGACATACACACACCCCATTTTGTTTTCGACCCTAATTGTGAAACACATGGTTTCATTTTAGGATGGATTCAGTCAAGGAAAAGTTGTTTGTGCGTTAGGCAACCTGACGGAACTGGAAATCAGTAATGTGATCAAAGCTTTGCAAAACCTTGGTGTCGAGACAAGCAGTGACCTTAGCTGGGGTAGTGAAGCAGACTTGGCGGGTTGTCTGTAACCAAGTCAAGAAGGAAACTGTTTGTAAGCTTCTGTGCTGAAGGTAAGATGTTTTCCCTTGGAATATTCGGGTGTTTTCGTATATCCTTCTCGCCGTCCCACAACGCTCTTCGCAACCCGCAACAACAACCGGAACTCTACAGTCAAGGCCATCGGCGCGCAAGCGCAGTAGCGGCCTCTTTGTTGCGGAGGGCTTAGCGGAGGCGGAAACGCGGTCTACGAGAACTCCCTATTGAGGCAAAATCTCACGTTGGTGCCACAAGTTAGGCAGGTTGCATAATTTATAGCTTTAACGGCCGTCCATTGGTGCTAGAATTTCTTAGACTATTGATACAAATAGTAGCGCCTGATGGATCGTGTTCTGTAGATGTATCATAGTTTATTCATTCACTTACAGACACTCTTAGGGCCCTTAGGGCCATGAGAGAGGGGACTGATGGCCGCTGAAACTCATAAATACATTGGCTGAATGGTGCCCACTACCGAGAGCGGGCCCCATTTTCCCTGCGCAAGATTCAGAAAAAACACTTAACTTTTAAATAAGGTGAGTTAACGGTTGGTTCTGAAGCTTTGGCATCTGGTTTGGACCGGCAGCGCTATATTTGGGCGGACGTACGACGATGCATACGAGATTTAGTGGCGAAAAAATACTACATGTTTGAGGGGGGGTCACGTTGTGCATTTAAAAGTCGGTTCTAGAAATAACGGAAACGCGAAGGGAGAAAACTATGTTCGTAATCCTGCCTTATATTTGTTATGACATCAATATGTCTTATTATATTATTATAAATAATATTATTATTAATTTTTACGGGAAAACCGCCTGCTTGTACTTCTCAGGAAGCAACAGAACCACACCCAAGAAATTCTATACCATAACCCAGTACACGCACTGAGTTACCGAGCTCACACCTAGACATCGAAGGGGCGGAGAACTTCATTTCACCATGGAAAGAGATGCCTGCTACCATGCAACCGGTCCTTAAAGAAACACCTCGACGGTATGTCACGCAAGACAGTAAGGAATCATCCATTTTTCAAAGACGTTATTAATGGACACGTCAGGGGAACCGGGCACAAGTCTTTGCAAAAACAAGTTGTTGTCAAGGGTTGATAGCAACCTTCCGCAGGAGGAGCCATGCAACTACGAAAAGGAAGATAATGAAAATACAGTGCGGATGTGTGCACACCTCCTTCCCTGACGAGGCTGAAAATGTCCTGAAAGAAAAACGAGCTGAGCTTGAGGATCTATGTCTGAAAGAAATAGAGGGAAGCCAGAGAGACAATGCATTGCGCCTCATGAAGGTCACACATTCACTGCAAAGGAAGAGTGTCTTTCGACCTTCACTGAGCTTTGACCTCCCACAAAGAGACACTCTCTCGATCACAGACAGAAAAACATACAAACAGCGCTGAACTCATAACTCTTTGTATTTTGTCTTTATTTTCTACGTATTTTTAAAAGAAAACCTGCATATTGCTTTGTCTTCGTTTTTTTTTCTCCGCCTATTAAATCAAATTTGAAAGATAGACCCCGATTATCTTCCTACATGTCACTCTAAAAAAAGCCCGTGCGTTTGCTTCCCGCACAACACATGAAAAGCCAATCACCGCAACTTACAGGGGCAGCTTGGCGAATGATGATGCCGAAATATATGTTTAGACCTAAAACGAAGTCTGAGTTCTGACATTAAGCAATGCAAAACGTCACGCTTGC